GCTTCGTTCGATTACTCTAAAACTCCGATTCGTCTTCTACCTGTCCCTAAGGATTTCCTCGAGATTCGAACCGAGTAACTCTACCACAAAGCGGCCACGTTACGCGATTCCCTGCAAATGGAACGTCGGTGTTCCAACTTTCGGACAGTCGAAATCGAATTCAAACTTTTCTCTGACAGTCTGATTCCAGAGTCTCAAAAGGATTGGTATTTTAAGTTGGCTGCTTGTAATTAATGCTCCGTTGCATACCTCAGGTACCTGTATCATTTACAGAATATTTAATACAATTGAAAAATTGTTAGAATGTTGTTATAACAAGGTACTGATACAAATCTATCGAGTTACTAACAAGTAGTAGTTGCTGCAATAAAGATCTATTCGAATGGCGGATAATGTATTAGATCTCAAAATTCAAATCTCAATAAAAGAACAAAAATGTATCTTATCGTGCCTTTTCACAGTGCGTAAATTTAATTGGTTCAGTTCGTTCCCAAATGATATCAAAATTTCACAAAACTTCCAAGCTCACAATTTCACAAGATGTTTCTTGCGACAAATAAAATGAATTATTTATTTCAATTTTTCACCTGGCTTATTCGATTTATATTCTTTCGTAATGGTTTTCAATTTCCTAATTAGAAGTAGATATCCGAGAAAGACTATAGTTTCACTATTGTCCCAATAAATGAATAGTTCTATTGAAAAATTTAAAAAAATCATTTATCTATCAGATGATTAAAATTTTACTCAGATTTAAATCATACTATAAAATCCAACGAATAACTGTTGATTAATTATTTTCCTACAACTCTTACAAATGGCTTTACAATTTTTGATCGACCATTATTTTATGCAAACTACTGCCTATTTAATCATTTCCTGATTAATCTATCGCAATTATCACTTCTTACACAAGACGAGCAGGTGTCCTAATACTTACGTACGTGGGTATACATGTAGAATGTAGAATGCAGACAATACGGAGACGATCCATTTGCACGAGATGCTTGCGATGTGTCGGTGCACGTGAACGAGCAAAGAGGGACGGGGACAGAGAGAGAAAAAAACGAAGAAAAATTAATATCCGCGGAGAAGATAGCGAGCTTATCGGCCGTTTGCCAGACAGGCGGCACCAGTCGTGTTTCGTCTCTCGATCGGTTTAGGCGAAATCGCGTTCACATATAATTACGATCGTTCGATTTTCGCTCGATTCGTGACGTGTGAATATCGTTCAATTTCTACAAAAATATTTCAGTGCACTCACATGAGAAAAATTTGTAAAAGATTTCGCGTAATCGGAAGTTCTGTTAAACGCAAGTGAATCGATTGAATCACGAAGGAAAGTCCGCGAATCGTTTGTTCGTGGTTTTCGTTTGTGAGTCGATGTTTCCTTGAGAAATGGAATAATCGATCGTCCCTTGAGATTTACTGGAATAAAGGTAGAAAGAGTTGTGCAGGGTTCTTGGAATATCTTTGGATCGGATCGTAGGGTTTATCCGTGGGTGGCGAAAAGCTGTTTTGCGAATTCGTGAAGATGCGGAGGGTTATTGAGTGAACGCTGTTTTGTCGTGATCCCTCGATCGCCTTTTGTGCGAACGCGTATTTTCTGAGAACTCTGGAAAGTATAGAAAAGCATTTTGTATAAACAAGGATTGAGTTGTATGAATTTTTGTATGATTATAAATATCTTGTGAGTTTTAACCCTTTCAAGGTGGAATTTTTCGAATATTAAAAAATAAATTTTCCTTTAAAATTAGGTAAAATATCTAATTTTATTACCTACATCATGACTTCTGTAAATTTTTATAAATATTATAATTATCGTAAATATTTATACATTAATTTTCCATTAAAAATATAATTACATACAAATAAGAATAATTATATTAATAAAATAAAGAACATAAATTAAAATATCAAGTCAATTTGGCCCAAAACGAACAATTATTTTGTAATGTACAATGTACCTCACAGTAGATACACGAAAGGGTTAACTATTCTACTGATCGTTTACAAAGAATTATCAATAGTTTATTTCATTGGATTTGTAATTGATTGAATCGTTATCTCTAATTTTATTATCAACTTTGTTAATTCTTATCAATTTAATCAGTTGCAGATATGTACCTATACGATGACTCACTCATATTTCTTATTTACTATTTATACTTTCCAATGCACATTGTTGGAAAATATTTCTCTGTAATTAAAATTGCCACTTAAGAGCAATAATTGATTTAACTTAAATAAAATGGACTGATCAAGTCTGAAACTCCTTTCATGAAACTTTTTGTTCACTTCATTAATTGATTCGGTCTATGTAACTTAGTTTATGTTGACAACAAAAGAAACGCGATACCTGAATATCTTTATTGCACTTTGCAGTTCACGGTTTTTATTCGGAACTAATTAACAATGCTTCGCTTGTTACGTATTTTTAATACTTCTTTGCCAATGCTTGCCCCACAAAATTTTCCATACCCGGAAACAATTTTATAACTTGAGATTTCTATGAGTTCTATTTATCCTCCTTCCTTTTTTTTGCAAACATTCTTGCATCAGGCAAAGAAAGCTGAAGTAAATATCGAAATAAACAAATCTGTGTTATACATTAAGAAGTTCAAAGTTCAAGAATTTGTCCAATGAATTATTTCTCAGTTTCAACTTTTCCAACAAATCGTCCAACAATTTTTCGTACAAATTTAATCAACCAATATTTCAATTTTAATTAACCAATACATATTTTTCTTCAACATAAACGTTGAAAATGTACCGTACAAAATTCCTCGAAATTTGCTAAAAATCCAATGCATCTTGATCTGACAAAAGTTACCCCATTCTCGAATGCCCTTTAATGTTCGTCAATTAAATACAGTACAACAACCCGTCAATTATTCCACCGTAACAATAAATACCAGCGAACCATCGAACCATCCCGCTGAACCAATCCAAACAATCATCGCCGCAAGCTTGTCCGTAAACCTAACTTCTCCAAGCGCATCTCTCACAATTCCTCTGTCCATACGCTGGTTCCCAAAGACTTGGAAGCACCTTTCGCGTGCCACCGAGGACTATGTCCTTTGTACTAGAATTTTCTAGTAGCAAATAGAAGGCGACAGTGTCGGCCGATTCTCGGCACTCGGGAGCAAAATACCGAAAACAAGATAAGAGGAAAGAGAAAAAACACTGGAACATAAAATACAGAGCTTGAGAAAGAAAGAAAGAGAGAGAAATAGAGAGATAAAAAAGGAAAGAGAAGAGAGTTTCACTAACATGACGCTTGGAACAAGCGTCGCGTCGTTGGAACGGAATTTCACGACCGCGTTTCTCGTCTCGCGACGAGTTTTTCGGTGCTGGCGTGTGACGCCAATGGTGTCGAGACGAGGGGCCGCAGGAAGAACCGAAAATAAAGTAGACAGCCGACGAGAAACGCGTATGAATATGCGTGTGCTCGGCAGCCCTCTTGCTGTGCTTAGGCTACCGCCTCTCGCCGTGTTGGTCCGGCCAAAGGAGGAAATTTTTAGCTCGTCGGTATACATTCGTGTATACAATGCGTCTCACAAACGTAAAACCGCCTTGAAATTTTCAATTCTTACGTAGGTACAAGATACGGAACGATACACGACAATGTCTGATTAGAGATATCGCAAAATTTTTGAATAAAACAGAGAAGAAGCCAGATATTACTATGTTATTGTTAGAGTCTCATTTTAGTGTACATTGAGTACATTTTTCGAATAATAAGCTACTACATATTCCGAATAATAAGATACTTCAAGTAAGACATCTATTCATAGATATTTGTTGATTCTATAGATATGAATATACTGAAAAAAATAAATGCAGCTAAAAAATTACATAAATACAAATTCGTTCCATTGGCGTTATAATGAATGCTGTACGTGAAATGTTTTACATATTTTATACGTTTCGATGTATTATCCGTATTTTCTACATTTTTACACTTTGAAATTTATTTACACAATAATGAATTTTCAAAAATATTGTTCCTTAGTTGTAGTACGAAACGATTAATTTTGTATTATTACCTAAAAACTCGCTAAATTTGATAAGGGTTATTTTCATCACAAGCGCCTCGATTGATGATTTTTGGATGATTTTATATTTTATAGTTATGAGACGCAGTGTTACAGACGTAAAAGCCTTTGCGATGCATCAGCCTCGGTAGACAGTTTACACGACTGCTGCATCCGTCATGAACATCTCTGCTCCTGTTATTTGTCTTAATAATTCTACGTCCGTGTCGTCCTATTTCGTGGAGATCCACGGTGTGTAAATATTTTAAGGAAATTTTTCACGAGACCGTCTCGACTACGTCGCACAGTGGCCATTGCTCTCGCTCGTTTTCAAGGGGGAGGATTTTTTCTATTACATTTTTTGTCGTTTTTAAAAGAGCTTGCTAAAAAGAGCGTTGTTCATTCTGCCTGCATGGCTACGTTGGAATTTTTGGTTGAGTTGCTTGGGAAGCAATAGATAGAGAGAGTTAGCCAATTTATTTGCGATTGATGGTTTGAGAAATGGAGTAGACTTTTTCGTCTTTGAAAGATGGATGATTAGATTAGATTAGATGCTGGAATTGTATATGAAGCGGCAGAAATTTTTATAAAAACATTATACGGTGAATCATTAATCGTAAAAGAATTAAGAGATAATTAATTTCTTACAAATATCGGTAAAGTATTTCTCAAAACTGTTATGGTTTATAAGACACAACTATCTTAGTCATTTTGTATCCTAAATTATTGTATGACTCACGTGTAAATCGTTATTAGTAATCCAAGATAAGAATGTAAGTTTTGGAAACAAAAACACACCTCGCAAGCTCATATATCTTCTGATAATATTCTCCAAATTTTCCCTAAAGTTTGTCCCATATCTACTACGTTCTTTCAATTTTATGACAGGCTTAAGATTTCCTCATAAGCTGTTTCACTTCGGACAACACACAGTGGTTTGCACTTTAGATGGCAAATTGTTTTTTTTCGATAGAAAACCTTGTGTCCTAAAATTTACATGATCGGGTCTATCCTATTCGACTTCGGTCCTAAAATTTCCCCAGACACGCTTCCTACGTAACACGTGTTCGACCATGTGTCTACCGCTTTCGTAAAAATCACACAGAAGCTGAATTTTGTAAGAACTCGTATGAGAACAGGATTGATGGATGACGCGACATACTTTCTTTTTCCAGAACACTATGCTTTTAGCGAGCATTTTTAGTTGAGTCTTGCGTCTCCTTTTCTTGTTACGTTTTTACGATAGTGTTGGTAATGAAGCATGTGATACCATTTTTTTATGAAGATGAACTGAAATGCTTTTTACTATGTACTCTGACGTTATAGGAGGATAAAACGAGATAAGGTTTACGTCTGCGGGAAAGTTCTTTCGATTATTAGCTCTCTTAAGGTTTATTCTAATAATATAATGATAAAACTTTTCTGTTTTTCGATCAGTGAAATATTCTGTAATTTAATTAAACTAATTTAATGGTTGCAAAAAAGACTGCCCTAGAAAATTTTACAGTTATTAAAGTAACGTTCTATAATAATACAGATTTGTTTCTCTATAAATAGCACGTTTTCGAAAAGTTTCTCCGTGAGTCTGAGTTTTTTAAAGTTACTTACGATTTATAAGATCTCGTAACAGTGTCTGCTATACTATTTTTTTCAGTGCTTACTGAGAACGTCCATTCATGATCATCGCAGATTTTTCAAATTTCGTGCAAACTTTAGAACTGCGTAAATATAGAATCTTGTTCTTATTTTAGCGATGTAATTTTTTTAGCAAACGTAACCTGCGTAAGCAGAAATTTTATATTCTTTAAATACAAGAATATTTTTCTTCTACCGTCGACTGAAATATCGTCACGAAATTCCGCGTTATTTTCGAATGTTCTCTGTCACAGTTTCGACAATTCCAAGTTCCTCGTTCTCGAATTACTAAAACAAGGATAATATTCAATCTACTTTCCATTATTTTTCTTACCTAATATGCTCGTATAAATGTTATTCCGAAATTTTTATAAATACCTTTAAACGTTATTCTATATAAAACTTCTTGTTCAAAACTTTCGACACACCCTATACATTCCTCATTTTTAAAACGTCCATTCAAATTCATGTTTTTGTTATCGAGATCCATTCGTACGGACTTTATACTTATTTTAACACACAAGATTTATACGCGAATTTTTATGCACCATTTTTGAAACACTCGATGCACAAAATTCCCATTTCTCCCCCAAACTTATCCAATTACAACTTCACGAATCTCAGCCAATCTTTCGGTTGGATTTCCGCGAAATCCTCTAGAAGGGGCATCCGTCGATCATAGAGAAGTCATTCAACACTGTCAAAGCCGGCAAGTTCTATCACTGAACGCTCCATTAGTCCACGATAAACGCTATCGCGCGTCCTATTTTACTTGTCCTATACGATCTGACAGCGCCAAGTATCGCCGCGGTTCTCCCTACGTCACTGCATGCGTAGTCACGTGACGACGACCAGTCGAGTCACTCTTTGGCCCTCAAGAATCGTTCACACACACGATTCACGATTCAGTTTATCGTGACCCGCGATGTGTTCAGGACTGTGCCTTAGATCTCCGATACATGTTGGTTCTGGGCAACCAGAATGGCCGTCTCCTTTCACGGGTAATCCAAAGATATTTCGACCTTGATACACAAACGCGAACTGATCCTCCGTGAATGTTTTATCGCGGATCGACTATCGGTGACTTATTATTATAAGCCGAGCGAGGGTCTTAAAGTGTGCCATTTCAACGAGGACAGTGTCGCGGCTGTGTCTAGCACAAGTTTTACTCTCCACGCGTTTCTTTCTTTTCTTCTACCGATTGATAATATGTATATTAGCGTGATATAACAAATATACAAGTGAGTTTCTTTTATTTTAAGATAAGATGGATTGTGTGTGATTTTTTGGCCGTTTGATAAAGAAATGGAAAGGAATGGTGAAAGCACGATGTGAAAGGACAATCGAGTATATACGATTGATAGTTCCATGGAGTATTATACTGTGCTCGTTTTAAACGATTTTCTGGCTAAATATTAAAAAGTGAAAGAGTGGAGAAATTTTAGTTGTCTTTGTGATTTTATTCGGTGCACCAAGTTTTTAATCTATTTATGATTAGATGTTAGAAGATTCATGTAATTATGTTGGACTTCTTGAGTTGTGTTTAAGAAGTTGAAAATCAGAGATGTTTAATGTTATACAATTTTATATGGATGAACGAAAATGAGATAGAGGACAAAAGTGCGTTTGAAGAGGTAGAGTGAAATGGAAACTGGAGATAGTGGCTGAAAAATTGACGCGAGTGTATAGTTTCGATCGACGAAAATGTTGAAGCATATGAATCGAACTGGACGACCTCGGGTCGTCGTGAGGAAGAGGAAAGGTCGTTCGTTATCCAGAAGCTGGCCTGGCACACCGAGGCCCTTATCGATTGTCTCGAACGAGGTAAAAAGATTCGTTTCGTAATTAAGAAAACACGACGACAGCCTTTATCGTTTAGTTTGTATCTTAACACGTTTTGTGCGGGAGACAAACATATCTATCGTTGTATAGTCAAACGTAATTTTACTAAATATTAGTCTCAAAAGAAATATTTCGTCTAACTGTGAAAAAACGTAGTAATTGTAAAAATATATAAAACAACATTTTGCGTGCTTTTGGATAATTACGATATTTGTTGGTTTTAATTAAATGCAAGGTAAAATATAATGAATATGTTAATATATGTATATCAATAGTATAAATATGATGATGCAGAATATAATATTCCACTAAGAAAAAAATCCAGTATTTGATGTCTAATAAATAGTAAAAGTTAAAATATGTTTTGATATTTGATAGCATACGAATTGTTTTATTAACATACTATTTCACCCATAATGTTTTCAGTGAAAAACAATTTGTAAATATCGCTATTTCCTGAATCGTTTAACTTTTAAGCAAATAAGTGTACAACACGAACTTTGCATTGAAAATTTCTCCAAAAGGCTAAACCCTGAAGAAATATGTGGCTTTGATACGCAACGTGTTAATAAATAGATTAATCTTAACAAGCGCGATATCTTAACGAGCCATTTCGTTTCTCAATCGCGCAACGATATCGTAAAGAAAACATAGGATCTCGTTAGTTTAAACTAACGAAATAAAAATCGAATGTGGTACGCTGCATTTACATACGCCGCAAATATTTCGTAGAATTATTTACGTGAATATTTAGCAAGCACGCGTTCGTGCTCGAATCAGGCGATGAGCATAGTCATAGAACGTTGGTATTTTTATGTTGGTAAATAGAATTCGAGGTTAGAAATTGTGGCAAGAGCGAGAAGGTTGTTGGTGGTATGATGCTGAATTCGCCGTGTGTTTATTGCTGGTATGCCTTATTAACGTGAATCGGTGAAATAATGGAATGCGTGGAATTCCATCCCATCGTTTGTCTCGTGGTAAATTGAGCTAAATATTTTTGTTTATCGTAATTAAGCGATTGATCTGATTTTCGTAGTGAAAAATTGTTCGTAATATTACGGTAGATTCGTTAATTTATAGATTGAAAAGACTACATTATTCATTGGAGCTTAGTCCTCAAATATCGATTTACAAGTTACATACGTGTATAAATACGTAATAGAGAAAATGTATGGACATATGTATAATGTATATATTCAATTAACATATTTCGTTGCGACATATTAATAGAAAATGGCCACTATTGATTGCAAATGTGTAACTATTTAACCTTTATTGTCAATTACATATATTTCACTGATTTACTTTTCTAACTATTATAAATCTATTTCAATTCTTTGTATTTTATTAGTATATTATTATATTAATATCAAACAGCTTATTTATAGCAAATTATTACCTTATAGATATCCTCATAGAAGTTAAAGTGAAACTACGTTAATTGATTATAACTTTTCTCGTAAACAAAACAAACTTCTAATTACCAATACTTAAACCTTATCCATTCAGCTTGCATCATTCTGATCTTCTATTCAATCTTTCCCTCTCTACGTCATAACGGACGCTCAAATATAAACCTCTCGACATTTGGAACTCGAAGTTTGAAAATATATCCAAAGTATAATATTTTCATATCATAATAATAATATTACGTTTATCATTATTACATCTTATCTTAGTTTTGTATTTTACTATTACTATAATTATCGCTGGTAACTAGCCAAGTTCGTATAAACAAATTGTTAAATTCAGTCTTATCGAAAACGAGGCACCGCGTGAAAAATTTCTATATTTTTATATTTTCGATTTATTTCGCATAGAATCACTCCCTTGCCTCTTGTATATTCATAAAAATACGAATCTTTATGCATTACATATTCACAGTCTGTGATTAACAGATTTCCGATAACCCTGTTCTTCGTTAACGTTTATTGAAAACTAAATGAAACGGGTTAGGTTTTGCTAGTGCATAGTTAGGTTTGTTAGTGTATCCCATTCGCGGCAGAAACGCTCGGCTTTATCGCTCGCTCGCGCCTGCACGCGCGCGTGTATGCGTTCGCCCACGCGGAGCCGAAGGGCCCACGCAGAGCGTGAATATATAACGAGGACGAGCGAAAGATAAAGGGACAGGAATGCGAGGAGACGTAGCCCGATCGTTGGTTATCGAACGATCCGCGCGTAATTGCTACGCTGGGGATGAACACTTCGCACGACGTTCGCGTGTATCTGCGATTTCATGGGAATTCATTATGGTTGTCATTTAGCTGCTCTTCATTTTTGGAGACGCGTTTTTAGAAGTCGCATTGAGAATTTGATAAGTATATACCTAATTTAGTGGAGCTTAGCTGATAGACGTAGATATTCTGTGTTTATTTAGGCACATTCTAAGATACCTTTATGTGTCATTTTGCCTTTCCTAGTAGAAAAACTTAAAAATTTTATAGTTCTAGGTGCAAGGAAAACATAACATGGATGTAAAAGTTCCTTCACGAGCGTGGTTAATTCTATTTTCTTTCTTTTCTTTTTTTAATAAAATGTTCAACCCTTCGTAGACAAATTCGATGGAATAGCAAATTTTGAATGTAACACCACATCGTCACATGTTTACATATACATCGATGCTAAGATAGAATTGTATTTAATATTTGATTTCAGGAAACTAAAACGCAAATTGTTCCTGGAACACTCAACTTTGTCGATTTTGCTGCTTTTTGATTATCAAATACGTTCGATATATCAATATCTACATGTTGGAAATTTATGGAGCAATACGACGACACGTGATAAGAACAGATGTAGAGTGTAAATATAAGGGTTTAAACTGGAACTGTTAATCTTGGTATACACAATTCCTCCAACTATGTCCGATAAATTGCTTGATTTATCGTACAATCGACATGACGTGACATGTAAAGTATAAATTCTTTCAGATTGTGCCATTTTTAGCAGTTAAATTATGGTTGAAAACTAGATAATCATAATCAGATAGGTAATCATAATACGAAATGATAATAGTAATGAGAAAAGTTGTTGAAAATAATTACTGATATAAGGTTCAGATTAAATATTGTGGTCGTAGTTCGTAGGCGTTAAGAGAATCAGATAATGAGGCTAATTTCGAGACCAATAGTTACCAAGTTAAACGAATGGAGCACTGCTTGGACACTTCAATTTAAATTCATAATGCATCGATTAGTAAGAGCAATTTTCAAATTATGTACTTGGTAGTAAGATCGAGTGGATGTGGTTATGTGTATTTTGGAAATGTTTGACCATTAGATGAAATTGCCACTGGTACCAATGTATAACAGTCGAGTGTATCGATTATTGGTGGGATAATTTGAAGTACTGTTAATGCAGTCAAGTTAATGCAATCTAAAGAATAGAATATTCTTGTCTGCGAAAATCAAAAACAATTTTTTATTCTTTTTACGTAAACTTAACAGGTTAACGGATTTTTGATATCAATTTAGCATGTATTATTATTCGGTTATTTTTAATTTCAAATTTGAATCACGACCATGACAGAAGCATTTATTTTTTACCACTATCTGGCCTTGAAAATGAGGATCCAAAAACAATATGTTTGATCTCTTATTCAAGTTATTCTCTAGAATTTTGAATAAAAATAATTTCGTGTATGTATTCATTTAAAAATTAATTTCTCCATTCACTTTCTACTTTTTATATATTATAATGAAACTTTCATAAACAATAAATGATCCTTAAATATTTCTTTCAAATATACTGTTGTAAAGTAGGATGATAATGTTTGGTTAACCTTAATAAGTAATATTTTTTAGAAAAAAGACAGACATTACACGTACATGTTTGTCCTCCACACACAATGCATTAAAACTGCTTGATCATAAAAAGAAAATATTGGAAAAGAATAATCGGACATTTGACGCGCACACGATTGCTACAAAAATAATTTCACCATCGAGACCCAAAAACATTGACCGGGATCGAGAAATATCGAAGTGTTTCGCAGTGTCACGGGCAACAATTACCAAACCTTGAGCGCTAGTGAAAACGTTGAAGGT